GTTCACTGTTGTTCTCATATTTGTTGTTTTTGTTGTTATCACGACCTTTCGGCCGTTCTGTCGTCCAGATTTCATTTCATCAGGTTTATGTAATCTGCAGAGAATTCCGCCTACATATATGATTTGTCACTGACGAAATATCCATTGCTTGCTCACTGCATTTCATATACGCCTTAAATATTAACATTTAGTCTGTGCCATTCCTGCTTTATATTTCCGAATTGATCACAGAGATATCGTGTTCTGACATCCCTTATCCTGTACCGAAGGATGCTGGGAATATTATGTTACCAATGACGAAGAAAATGGAAGCAAAAAAGAAATTTATACTTAATATCAGAAACAGTTGAAATTTCTGGGTCACATAATAAGGAAAAATAACTTAGAAATTGGATACTCACATCGCAGATTGAAAGCAGATTCGGAAACAAGGTTCCTGATCAGGAGAATGGACGTTTTGAGCAGGCTGGAATCGTCATTTAATTCCTGTTGTAACCAGGCCCACTCTGACCTCAGGTGGCAGCCCCTTTTTACGTACCAGCTATGGACAAATAGTCAACCTCCAAACAAAAACTAACACTATGAACGGATAAAGTTACTTTTTTATAGTAATAATACTGACAATATATTTTTAAATAGTACAATTACCAACAATGAATTTAATCTGAAGTTGAAGGCATTCAAATGCGTTCAAAATATTTAGATTCGGCATTAAATAACCCATAGAGATGTTTGTTATTCATCATGACGGTCGTCTTCGAGTATAGAATCCAGAGGTTAGCAGTGAATATTTCGAAGACAGTAGGAAAGCGTTGTTCAGGTTAGCAGTGGATATTTCGATAAAAGTCGCAGAGCATAGTTCGTCCTTCTGGTTCTCTTCCCCTGACAAGCTGGACTGGACATTCGGGTAGAGTGAAGAAAATGGCCGCCTTTATACACGACGGATTGAATGTTCTACGTCTTCTGATTGGTTAACCTTCTATTGGTGGACTATAAAAGTGAGTTATGTCATTTGAGCTAACTCACTAGTTATATATATATATATATATATATATATATATATATATATATATATATATATACGCCAAAAACTCATCCAAACAAAACATATATACGCAAAAAAATCATCCAACCAAACAATATGAACGAACTCCTTCATGATATTAATCCATATAATATCCTATAATTTCTTCAATCAAACTCTATTCTAACATAACTTAAACATAAAACACACGTATCACCATGTCCATAAAGTTGTATATGAATCGTGAACGCCCAGACAATAGTAATTTTTTATAATGAAATGTCTGCCCATACAATGAAATGTCAGAAAATGACAATCAATTCAAAACTAAAAATATATGAAAAAACACATCTTTATAGTAAAATAACAAACAACTACAAAATATATATCTAAAAAAACATACCTTTACTCTGAAAGTATAATATGTAGACATTATCTGCAGTTGAAAGCCTAAAATTACATACAAATTATTTAGATTTCGGCACTAAATAATCCCCAGGGGTTAATATGCCTGTCCTGGGTATGTGGATAAACTACATCCGCGTCCTGGGTAAGACGATAAACTACGTCCGACAGCAAGGCCTCTGATCAGGAGGTTTTGAGGAGCGTGGAACCACCTCTTAATTGCTGGTGTTGCCAGGTACACCCTGATACGAGTTGGTAGCACCTGTTAGAGTCCCAGCTCTGGGCCAATAGTTAACCCTGAATCTAGGGTAAAAGCACTATGAAAGTGTATAAATATCAGAAATACTTTGTAAAAAAAATTATTACCAGCATTTCAGAAGAAAAAAAACAAAAAACTATTACCAGCAATAAATTTTTGAAAAAGGAAAATATTGCCAGCGATACATTTTTGAAAAAAATATTACCAGCAATGAAAATCTTGTCGCCATTAAATTAACAATTGTGGTTATGCCGTAAAACAAACCAAACCAAACCAAAGAGGTTGATATGCCCTTAAGAAAATCAAACAACCAATATGCAAGGACTCTTTCATGACATTAATCAATATAATATCCTAATCCATGAATCCATATAATATCCTAATCCATTAATCAATACATATCCTAATCCATGAATCAATATAATATCCCAATCCATTAATGCATATGCCCTAATCCATTAATCCATACAATATCTTAATACATTAATCCATATAATATCCTAATCCATTAATCCATATGTCCTTATACATTAATCCATATAATATCCTAAGACATTAATCCATATAATATCCTAATACATTAATCCATATATTCTAATCCATGAATCAATATAATATCCTAATACATTAATCCATATCATATCTTAATCCATTAATCGATATATCCTTATCCATGGATCCATATAATATACTAATCCATTAATCCATATAATATCCTAATCCATTAATCCATATAATATCCTATAATTTCTTAAAGAAATCAAACTGTATTCCAAAATACAACATAAACCACATATATCCCTGTCTCCAGTAAATATGTCCACACTAATGTGTATATGCACAAAAGCTGAGTTTCATCTACAATGAATTCAGTTGTAAAATCAAGATAACGCCTTTTTATTACTTCAAAATTTCCCCGCCAAATTAAAGCTTGACATTAAATGACCCATCAGGTGTTGATATGCCCTTAAACAAAGAAAAAAATTAATCAGATTGATACCAAAAAGGATAGAGGAAAACAATGTATAACTTACATAACAGCTTTTTTAAATGGATGTTGGGACAGGGCTTAGGAGAGATAACAAACAAACACAATTTATTTTAAATTGACAGGATGTTATAGATAACCCTGATGACTAACACCCTAAAGGAAAATGACATCCATTTGAAGGTCACAATTGACCGAGGTTATTTAAGAATATGACTCTTGACTAGGTTAATTTTTGGGTTTTGTTATCTCTTGCAGTGTTGGGCGAAACTAACTCTAAAAATACCGATTCTATATTCAATGCCCATATCTCTTACAATAATAACAGAGATATATTTGAAGTGTTTAATATTGACAAATTCAACAACCAGAATGTTAATGAATGGTTTCAGGGTACACATGATGATTGGGGACCATAATATATATATATATATATATATATATATATATATATATATATATATATATATATATATATATATATATATATTTTTTTCAGAGCGCTCTCTTTGCCAATCCTCAGTCATACTTGCGTTTGTTCAACACCCACAGAGCTGACCTGTTGTTTGTACTGACACTAAGCTGAGTGGATATTCTTAGAGACGGTATGAACAGTCATGGTATCCAGTTAGACTTTTAACAAGGAGTCCTATAAGATTAGCCATTGTAGTCAGACAAAAAAAAAACAAAAAAAAAAACAATCCAACCTTACACGACTCCAAAATCTTGACATATAACAAACACCCCTACTTCCATCAAAGCGGTGTCCACATGATAATGAAAAACAAACTTTAGATTACATCTCTATTTGAAAATTATAAATGAGTAAAACATTCCGAAGGATAGTTATTCCAAACATCGTTTGAGCATGAAAGTGCCACCTGGTAGTTATAATTTAATATTGAATACTGCTGACCAGTTTCGAAACATAATATATATATATATATATATATATATATATATATATATATATATATATATTGTCATACACAGACAGATTGTTTCGCAGCTCTCCAGTGTGGCTGAATTGGCGTTAGTCGGAGATTCTACTATTAAGCCGGTTTTTTAGATAAACACACAGTAACTGCGAGAACTTGATTCGCTTTTACCGAAGTGTCTTGCTATAATAGCCGTAATAATCACTGTTTACAAACCCACACTTCCTCTCCCAGAGAGCTCAGCCGAAATATATTTTTCAGGAGCCTATATATATATATATATATATATATATATATATATATATATATAGTCAACGACGAAATTATTCGTACATTCATCAATTTTGAATATTTTTATCGATTTCTCAGTATTTAATGACCATATGATGCCAGAATTTTCATATTTTGGTAGCCGCAGAAAAGGAATATAAACATTCATTTTTCACAAGAATAGGTCAAATACATCAAATTGGGCAGGCGAATTATGCAAAATTGGAAACGACAAACTTATTCGTACAGTTGAAAATATCATTTTAAATTGATTGATTCGTGTAAGTATAATTAATTTACATAATTATTTTATCGGTGATGCCTTCCAAATTATTTCTTCATTAGAATATTTCTGATAATTCCAGCAAAGACATAAGATTTTAGAATTTCAGCTTTATTTCTTGGTATATAAATTTTCAATTGTTAAACAACTTAGAGCATACTACCTTTTATTTGAACCCACTCATTTTTCCAGTGAGCAAAACTACTGGAACAGGTGACTGACATTTGTTTGTCGTTGCCGAGGTGTTGCCTTTTAGATTGATTGTTTAAACATTAAATAGCTCTGAATGACTACTCGTGGTCTTAGTCTTGCTTTTCACCTTTTCAGACAGTGTCTCTTGTTAAAAAGTATAAACTAACATGAAGACGAGAGTGAGAGAGATGTCTGCGGGACAAAAGTAAACCATTTTGTATGTGAAAAAAGAATAAAAATCGATCAGAGCCAGTGGACAAACATTGGGTATAGCCAACACAACAATTAAGAATCTCCTGCAAAAGAAAGACTCTATAGGTGTACTGAGAAATAGACATTGAAAAGTTCGACTAAGGAAAACAATGGCAGTTGATGAGAGAAACATTGTTAGAGCCGTGAGGAAAAACAAACCAACCCCCCCCCAAAAAAAAACAACTGACATCACCAACAATCTCTAGGGTGAATTGATTACATTGTTTGAAGAATACTTTCAGGGCAAAAATATAGATGCCATACCACAAAAGTATAAACCATTCATCAGCAATAAGGATGGGAAATCAGATTAGAATTTGAAAGGAACGATAGCGACAAGCAAGAAAAGTTCTGGAAGCAGGTTTTATGGACCGATGAGTCCATAATTA